CAACTAAAGATGCGTGAAAGACTCTGTGGGCAGTTCAGTCAGCTCTTCTTTCTGTCTGAGAATCAAGGGGTACAGACATCACAATCACAGGATCATAGAATTTTAGAGCTGTAAGGGACCTTAGAAGTCATCTAACACAGCCCCCTCTTTTATTTTTTGAAAATACATTTTATGGATTTTACATAGTTATGTCCGTCCTTGTTCTCCCACTGCTAATTGAACCCTCTCTTCTGAGAAAGAAAATGATTAAGCAAAAAACAAAAATGAAAACATTTGATTTGGAGGTATAGAAGCCACAACTGACAATGTATATAAGATTGTTACGGTTGTATAGAGTAGGAAGGTATATTTTATTCTCTCTTCAGGACCTTCACCAGGTTTTTTTTCCAGTTACTCAGAGTTCAACTTTCCAATTACATTGATATAGTTAACTATGTTTATTTTCTCTTGGTTCTGCTTATTTTGCTCTGCTTCAGTCCATACAAATCTTCCTATGTTTCTCCAAATTCCTCATTCATAATTTCATACTATGCAATAATACTCCTTAAAAAGCTTTTTGCCAACCATTTCTTAGGTGATAGACTTTCTACTGTTTCCAGTTCTTTGCTACCATGAAGTGTTTCAATGACAAATTCGATACATATTAATTAGACTTTTGTTCCTGTCTTTAACATCCTTGGGACACATGCTTAAGTAGTGAGTGAAAACACTGGGTCAAAATGATTATGAACAATTTAGTTGCTTTTCTTGCATATTTCCAAATTTATGTCCAGAATGATTAACCACCTCATTTTATACACATGAAAAGAGGCCCAAAGGATTAGAATATATAAGGTATTAAGTGGTCCTACTTTTTTTTTTTCAAATTTAGAATTTGAAACAAGCTTCTCTGACCGCAAATCTAGTGCTCTTCCCACTGCACTACACTGCTTCTATCACCATTTCAAAACCCTGTACAAAGTTATGATGACATACATCAGCGCAACTTTGGTCAGTCTGGGTCCAGAGAAATCAGATTTGTTCCTCTCATCTCAGAAATAATTATATGGTTCAAATTATTCATGATTGGGCACCTTTTGCCTAATGGGAATAATTAAATATTCTCAATATCTTCAAGATGTCAGTGGAAAAGGAAAATAAATAATAACAGGATGAGAATTTGTTGTGGCCTTTCTCAAATAAGGCAGCTAGATGGCTCAGTGGATAGAGTACTGGGCCTGGAGTCAGGAATATCTGAGTTCAAATCTGGCCTCAGAGACTTGCTGTGTGACCCTGGGCAAGTCACTTAACCCTGTTTGCTTCAGTTTCCTCATCTGTAAAATGAACTGGAGAAGGAAATGGCAAAGCCGGTTACTCTAGAATCTTTGCCAAGAAAACCCCAAATGGGGCCATAAAGAGTCGAACATGACTGAAACAACTGAACGACAATAATTCTCAGGTAAATAGTGCCTTCAGCCAAGACACACTTGAAAACCATGCTGCCGATAATTGTTACTTCAGTGTGATAAAGGAGTTAACTTCTATGTTTAAATGTAGTGCTGACCTATGATGAAGAGATGGAAGAGAGAATATTCTGGTATAGTTAGAAAAATAGGCCCTGAAAAGAAATAAGGATGTATGTGTATGAAAATTAGGCAGCAATATTAATAACAGTTTAATATTCTATACCTCTGGTTCTCATTCTGTTTGGTTTCCATGGAAATGTTTTTGGTAAGAACTTCATTTTACTTACCACCAATGGATAAATGGGATTCTTTTTGGGCATATGAGAGTCAGGGCATAGATATACCTCTCTTTGATATTAACTCAAAGATAAACAGTGACTACTATAAAAGTGACTTGTGGTAAACATGGTGAAAACTAAGAAATTTTCAAGGGGAAGCCAGTCAGTGATTAAAAATGGTATCCTCACAATCCCTTTGAGGGGAATCCAAATTCCATTACAGGAACTCAGTATTTCTTGATGGTAAGTTTTGTGCCTCCTTCAATGACACAACTATAGGATCATAGGGTCATAGATTTCAACCTAGAAGGAACCTTAAGAAGCCATCTAGTCTAGCCCTCTTATTTTACAGTTAAGGAAACTGAGGTCCACAGAGGTTAATTTGCCCATAATCACACAGGTAACGGGCCAGAATAGCACAAAGGTCCTCTGACTCCAAAGCCAACATTTTTTCTACATTTCCATGTACAAGTAGGTTGTTTTCTTTGCCCTAGGTTCCAGTGACTGAGGTCTGACTCTACTGAGCCTTTTCTTCAGTCACTTGAATTGTGAGAATGCTTCACTTGTAATGATTTACTTAAAAACCCAAAGAGATACTGTTGTAAAAGCAGGCAGCACCATAGTTCACTGTTTAAAGAACTTTGAGGAGACAAGGAGCAAGAGTGATTTTTTTTGGAAAGGAATATAATTGCACATGGCTTGCTTTTATTTAAAATGTCTCGTTTTTTTTAATAGCTGGAGCATGTCTTCCATATGATAAAAAATCTGCAATGCTTTTAAATTCTAAGCAATCCATAAGAGAGGCCTAAGCTAAGTATTTTAGGAAAAGTTTTGAGAATAACTAAGATAATTCTCTGCTATGAAGAGTAGCTCTTATTAATGCTAAAGTGTAAGCAGATGTTAAATTTTCATTCAAGTTCAGTGTGATTGGCAACTCAGTGCCCATGTGGCTCGCAGATTATAGAAGCTGGTAACAATTAACCACAGGTTAGTTCCAGACATAAGTCTCAATTTATGGCAGAGATTCTATGCAATCAAGCAGTTAGAAACCGTCTAATTACTTCAATTCAGGTGAGCATTTTTGCTAAGAGTTACTAGAGACCAATAATGTGTATACAGGATGGGCAGCAATTGCTAACACCCTTATCCATTAAATGCCCAATGGGACAGGTTAGTGGATCAAGCATCACTTTGCCAAGTCTAGACTGCCTGAAGCCATAGGTCTCAATCCTGCAAAGGGGAAAATGTGGTCCTTCCATAGTCCACAGGGGGATGAGGAACTTTAGAATACCACCTTTGAAATACGGTTTAATTAAAGGAAAGATCATTACCATCAAATTAATCAGGCACCTACAACAGTACCTCAGCTACTGTGGCCCACTCTTTTCATGACAGGGTTAGGAGAGAACTTAAAGGTCATTTAGTCCAATTCTCTTTTTTTTACAAATGACAAATGGTCGAATGATGTGTCCAGCCAAAGTCAATAAGGTAGAAAGTGCCAGAGCCTGGATTCAAAATCTAAAATTGAGTGCTATTTCATCTGCACCAATGGCTCCAAAGGGCTTACATCTGAAGGATAATATTTCGAAGGATTTTGGAAATAGATGTTGGTAGGAAAGTGGGTTACAAAAGATGTGCATTAACTTTGTAGATAACATCTGGAGATGAGTTTGGAAGATAGAAACAGGCACTAAACTAGAGAGGAACAGAAAACATCTTGGATGATATAATCAGAGTTTAACATGATCTGATATGATCTCTTAGTTAATTTAAGTCAGAAATAAAGTAGTGAAATTCTATGAAAAGACTTCGCACAAATTGGCCGGGCAGTTTTAACAAGTGTACAGGTAAGAAAATCAACTTGCTTTACGTACAACTCCCCAACTCCCATCCCCCAAAACTGCCCTCTCATCTTGGAGTTTCTCCTTTCATGGTTGGGGCTTTCTCACCCTAAACATCGCTGGGCCATACCGAGTCCCTTCTCCCACTGATGAGTTCCTTCTGGGTCTCCTTTTTAGAGATAGGTCCAGTCTGGACATGCTTCCTTCTCCTCCCAGCTGTGCTTCTGGGCTTCCCCACCATCCTCCCTTTTCAGTTCCCTTTTATGTATTATCTCTCCCCCATTAGAATGTAAGCTCCTTGAGAGTAGGGACTGTCTTTTTGCTTTGTATCTCTGGCAAGCACCTGGCCTCATAAGCACTTGAAGGTTTGATGCCTATTTGCCTGCCTATACAGACTTCTTTTTTATGAATTGAACATTTAAAATGTACTTGGAAGGTTTACTGTTAGAAATCATTGAATTCTTGGTATGGCCAATTGTACATCCATATTTTTATGGATTTTCTGAAAGCTAAGTCCACTTGTACAAATAGGGTTCAACAATTTTGCTTTGAAGCTAGGAACCAACCAAAAACTGATAAACCAGATGGACTGTTCACCTCTTATAATCTTAAGTTTCCTTCAATTCTCAGCTTAGTTAACATTTCTGCAGTGTAACTTTCCTGATTCCCAGTTGTTAATGGTCTCTCCCACTTCAAATGACCTGTTACACACTTCTCTGTGTACATGTTGTATCTCTCAGCAGAATGTAAGCTTCTTGAGAGCAGGGGCTGCTCAGCCTTTGTATCCTCAGCATCTTGCATATGAGTATACACTTGTTGAAGTGAAAGAAAAAGAAAAAGAAAAAACCCAGCAGCCTGTTGCCATTTGACATCAATGCCAAATCTTGAAAAAGGAAACCTGAATCAAGGTTATTTATTGAATCCCTTGAAGGATTCTCTGGAAAAGACTTGGAAGGAGCTGAGCAAATGTGGTCTAGATACTTCCTGAGCCATATTAGAAGTTAGAGGGGCAGGTAGGTGGCACAGTGGATAGGAGTCAGGAGGACCTGAGTTAAAATCCGGCCTCAGACACTTGACACTTACTAGTTGTGTGACCCTGGGCAAGTCACTTAACCCCATTGCCTAGCAAAAAAATAGAAACAAACAAACAAAAAAAGAAGTTAGAAGATGTCCTCACGGTTCCTTCTTCACTGGATCCTACACACAGGGAGTAGAACTCAAACCTGAATACAGTAGGTACAGTGACTCTCATAGTCAAATTCCAGTGAATCCAGCCTGAACATAAGTAGGTATTCCACAAGAATTTGTATAGATTATCCATGAATGAATGAAGATGATACAGAGGAAAATCACAAAATACTAACAAGGCTGTAATAAGTGAAAGCAATCGATATAATTTAGCCTAGGAAAGAGAAAGTAGATCCTCTAATGAAAGGTGAGTTTCTGGTTTTATTTCCAGAGAGAAGGGGAAACTTTTGCTTTATAAAAAAAAAATCCCAACAGGATTCTAACAGGAAATGTTAGAATGGGTGGGAGTAAAAAAATTGGTGTCTCAGGTCTCAGAGCTTTGCAAAGAAAATAGATTCTTATCTCCCTATTGTTTTTCAAGTAAGGGGGCTGACCAGGTGGTCACTCAAGGATGGATATTTTTGGTCTCTGATTCCACTGATTTATGTCAAAGGAAGGACATATTTTATATATTTTTAAATTTAAAAATAACAAAGAAAAATACATAGTTTTGTCAAAGAGTTCATGCTGTTTCACTCATAGTTCAAGAATGAAATGAAATCTTGTCATGATGACTTGCAAGATAAAAATAATCATGACATTTTAAAAAAGCTTGATATTTTAAAACTGAAGAGAAAATCAGAAAGGGATTTTATACAATATTACTGAACTCACTGTCTATAAAAAACACCATCTACATTTGCTTTAAAAAGGTAGCTACCAAGACAATGACAGTTAAAGAAGTCAACGCAATGATTTTACTTCATCCCAGTTCTCTTCTTTCTGTGTATGTGAGATCTAGAAGCTTTGCAAAAGCCTTTATGTTCAAAAGCCCTTTCAGTCTACCCTCTTGGTCAATCATTCAACTGCATGATGAAAATTGGAGAAATCTTCCTTAGTGTTTACACTGGAAAAAACCAAACAAACCAACAATAAAAGGTTATGGAGCCAAAATTTCCATAAGTAAGGATATATTTTTTGTGTCATCCAGACAACTCTCCCCAAAACTACTACTATCTTAAACCACATCTAGAAAAATCTGCCAAATACCAACCGCCACCAATTTGCTGACCCAGCACCTAATTTTTTTGTCTTGTCATGCTGAATCTACATTAGTCTACAATTTAAGCAGTAACATAAAATAGTTGAAATACAACTTTTCTGCTGGTATGCTCTGAGGAAAGTAACTCTCTTTAGTCACCAAAATACTTACTGTTCTCAATTAAAAACAGCCAAACTCAGGTAGTAATTCACAGCACTTCACATTGACTCATATAGCTAAGTGATAGGAAGGTTATACTTTTCTGGATTTCACGCTGCTGTAAATTGTAAAAGCATTTCTGCAAATAGTAAAGTGAGTAAAAGCAGAAATATTATTCGTGGGTACATACTCTCTGGCACCTTTGGTAAATTCATAATTAGCTTCAGACAACTCTTGAACAGGGTGTGAAGAAAGCACTTTGGTTGTATTTTAGTGGGCTTCTTTAACATTGGCAGTGCAAAAAGATCAATCCTGTATTCTTTCCAGTAAACAGTTTTCAAGGTATGACCTACTTCCCAGATAAAGCCATTCATCCTATATTTCTCAATAAATGAAAGAACAAACTAAATTCCTTAGCAGGAGCAAAAAATCAAAGAGGGGTACTGCCTCTTTCCAAAGATTTTTTCATCAGCTAAAGAAACCATCTTTAGACCAAAAGCTCCATCTAATGCATAATAGAATTATTTTGAATAAAGCTTATATAATTACAGAATTCCCTCAATTTCTTGTTTTAAACATTTTAAGAATGTTTAAAAATCTAAGAATGCAATGAAAGGATAGAGGGAATACAAGGGCTGGGAAAGTTGGCCCTTTGCCATGGGCTGGAATTATATCTGTAATCCCCCCTTTTAAAGAAAAATATAAAATGTCCCATTCATATACTTTTAGAATGAATATAACAATTTAAAAATACACTTCATTTTGGGTCCCTGAGAACAGGTAATAAAACTTTTCCTCCTCCAGGGTGTGTGCATGTGTGTATGAGATAGTATCTGTGTATAGGATAGACTATTGTATATATTCAGATGAGGTCATTGTATGGGATATTTTACTTAATTGTTTTTCTTTGTCTCTAGGGAAAGTTTAATCTAGAAAGGAAGGATTGAAATAACTTATGTAAAGACAAAAGATATCAATGAAACGTTTTTAAAAAATAAATTTCACTTTTGTAATGTTGCAATGACATTTTAAAACTATAGAGACATGAAAGAAATAAAGGAGAGAGGGAGAAAAAATAGGTATGCAAGAAGACAGTAAAGGAACATTTAAAAACACTCTAGTACTTAGCACAGTGCCTGGCACATAGTAGGCACTTAATAAATGTTTATTGATTGACACTTAAAAAAACAACTACGCAGAGACTGGGAGATATGAATGACACACAGATTTTTGTAGATTTTATATTCCATTTGTAGGCTTTTGAAATACAACCACTAAAGGTATTTTAAGTTGTTGGGTGGCATAAATGAGCCAATCACCTGCCCACCTCTGTAGAAGGTAGAGGAGTTTAAATAATCCAATGACCCTCAAAACTGTGGGATTAGTTATCTCAAACCTTTGACAAGATCTCCCACAGCTAATGAGTAATAATACTCATAAATTACAGCAAGAATGCTTTAAGGTTTGTGAACTGCTTTATCTCATTTTAAATATATGAAAATGAGGCAGACTTTAAAACAATTTTTTAAACAACTGAAAACCACTACAGCCAGCAATACATGTTTCAAGAGGGAAAGATCTATCATTAAGCAAATTATTAAACTTCTTCAGAATTTGGTTTTCTCACCTGTAAAAGGAGGGAGTTAAACTAGATGACCTCTAAGGTTCCTTAGAGTGTAGATTTAGTACCCTATAATCCTAGCTTTTGCCAAGTTCATCAGGAAGGACAGCTTCACAGGACATGGAGACATTCAACACAGACTGAATTATATCTCGTATGATGCAACAAATTTGTTGCAGTGGCTCAGAATTTGATGCTTCTCACTTCTTTGCTTTTCACTCCATAAAGATAGTAATGTGAAAGAACCATCCAGGAGACCCATCCAAGTGGCCAGCCCAACCACAAGTTTGCTTTCAGTAGTGCTTAGGAATTATTAGCACAGTCAGGCTGAATTTCTAAACATTTACTTGGTTCTCAACTCTCACCTTAATACCCTGAGTGCTTTTGCCAAAGTAGATGTATCTACCTGAATCATGATATGTAGAGACTTAGCTTTGTGTTTCACTGCTTCCACAGGAACATATCAAAGCGTAGGTAAGTAACTTATTTTCCTAACTTCTTTGTCTTCTTTTGCTTTAAAGTTGACTGAGACTCAGAATCATATTCTATAAAGCTATTCTCCCCTTTGATTTCAACGTTTCAGGAAAAATTAATAAAATACTCAGGTTGAAAACTTCTTCCTCTGAGACAACAGTATCTTTTCATTCTTTATCAAATACATCTTTCTCTATAATAATAATATTACCTTGGAAAGTTAACTATAACTACCGCAGAAATAACAACCTTCCTTCAAAACAGCTCTTGAAATACCTTAATTATCAAACAATTGGCCAGAAATATGCTGGCTAGTAACAGAATCTTACAATATGGGACTTAGAATGACTGTTTTAATTAAGATTGTTTCTTGAATGTGTCTGATGTGTCATTTTAATTCCCCTTTCCCTCTCCCACCAGAAATGCCATAAACATAGCCATGTGACAAATCCCACCCATCTGAGGTTAGCACTGATTTATTTTTTATGGTGGGTGAAAAATAAGGTAGATGAGCCTAAGAAAACTCACTCTTCCAAAGCTGTGTAACACAATAACAGCTTCTAAAAATTCTCATTTAAAAAGTCCTTTTCTCCATCTGGTTGTGAGATACCAATGACTTGAAGTCATTCCGTACCCAGTTGTAAGTCTGATTTAGATCCCAATCTCTCTAGAGTTTATAATCAATCTTGAGAAGAAGAACAGACTTTTTAGTGAGATAGCTCTAAACCAGATTTCTTTTTTCCCTGGGGCAGGAGTTTTTTCCTAACATTTGCCAGCCTCCTCTATTACACACACAAAAGGGGCAAGCAAGTGACAAAACATATAGGTTCCTCTTGCTAAGTCCTTTATGCTCAGCATTACTTCTTCCAGTGGGCACTTAGAGATTATCTACAAATAGGAGTAGGCAGATTAGAACAAAAGGTGACCCCTTTTCAGGATGTGTCTATCTGGAACAATTCTGACAACTGGCAAGACATTCTGTTCCCTCTAAGTATCTCATTTTTCCGGATCAGCTGCATTTCATTTTAAGTAGCATCAAAGACCTAAAATTAAACTTGGTTACTAAGAAAACAAAGTTTTATTTGAAGGAAACTGATGTACACATAACCCAGAGATTTTATTCATATTCATATATTCACGTTCAGCTCATATCTTAGGCTATTTAAGCGTTAAAAGAGTTTAATGATCTCTGGAACCATTCCCCTTCACTGAAGATTCATACTATACCTGCCAAGTTACCAAAAGATAATTCCCTAAGGTACCCAGATCATTGGTACCCTGGAGAGACACCTTCAAAGATTAGGAATCACCCCAGTTTCATAAAACAGAGAACAATGGTGCAGCATGGGAAGGAGGACCACAGAAGAGAGAGTGCTAAGAAGGAAGGAAAGGGCAGGATACAATAACTAGCAGAGTGCTTTAATTGCACACAGAGGACTCAATACAAGTTTACTGAATTTTGAAAGTAAATATATTTCTGATAAAAAATCAAGGGAGGAGATAAGCAAGAAGATGTGAACAGACAAAATATTTTCAAATTAACTTGATGTTGCATGTATACATCAAGCAACTGGCAAATCTATGAGAATAATGGAACTGATTGTGCTCCAAGGAAACTCACCAGTGTTGAGTATACTGCAAGTAATCTTATTAGGGAACTTTACAATGTTAACTGCTGACATTTTTTTAAATGACACACTAAAGTCTGTTTAAAAATGGACACCTCCTGCTTATCCCATCTGATCTGTCGGTAAGAATAAAACGAAAACTCCAAACCACTGAAATATTCAGATTAGGAACTGAGGTAATCCCAAAGAAGAGATATGAGAAGACACTCCTTCACCTTCTTTGAGGGGAAGGAATTATGTCTGTGAACACTGCATATAATGTTAGATTTCTTTAATGTGTTGGGTAGTTTTGCTGAACTGTGTTTTTTTTCTCCTCCTTTGTATTCTTTGTTATGAGAGATGATTCTCCAGAAGTGAGAGGAGTGAAGAGTATATGACATATGAGGTGATACAGAAACAAAGGAACATTTTTAAAACAAAAACTGTTCTAACAGCTTTCCTGAAAGCTATTGCAAATAAGGTATGGTATTTTTCTTGTGTTCTCAGCACCCTCTGAGGGGGCTACTGCTATGCTGGATTTCCTACCTGCTCACTTAGCAGGCATTCTTTGTGGGTCTACTTTCCTCCTGGTCATCCCAAATACTTCAACAAGATTTAGTGAGGGACTCAGATGTAGGCTGCTTTCTTGTCAATAGTGAAGGTTATGAGAAGTCTCCTTCCTTTGTTTTTGGGGCTCATTTATGAGGAAAGGCTGAAAAGTTTCATTCCCCTAAGCTTCTCCACCATTCTGTCTTTATTACTCTATGCCAGCTTCTAAGCATACTTCTAATTCTGATCAATGAGCATTGAAATATCCAGCCTGCATGTGGGGAAGCCAGGTGGCACAGAGGATAGAGTACCAACCCTGGAGTCAGGAGGACCAGAGTTCAAATTTGACCTCAGAGACTTGACACTTACTAGCTATGTAATCCTGGGCAAGTTACTTAACCCAGATTGCCTCATAAAAAAAAAATATTCAGCCATGTGCATGCCTGTGTGCAACCTTGATGAATAGCAAACTATTACGAAACTTGTATATAACCCTGCACCTATATTCTCACCTGCCATCAAACGAACACAACTCTGGCCTACCCTAGGGTAAATAACAATTTTCCAAATGAAGTGTCTCTTTCTATTTCTTTCTATCATTTTAGCCAACATTTACTCAATTAAATAAATCCAAAAGTTCAAAGCAAAATGCTCTGAAAGAAATAAAAAAGGTGCTATTTCTTGTTAGCCTGATTGGTCTTCTGGTCCACTACTTGGATCCAGTAGGAAAATGCCAGTGGCAGGGAAATAAAAATCCAGAAACTTAGTCCTTTTGGGTAGTGAACAAGAGCATTAAAAATGAGAGACAAAGAGACAGAAACAAAGGGAGAGACAGTCAGAGACAGAGACATGGTGGGGGGAGAGGGAAAAAAAAGAGAGAAAGGCATAGGAAACAGAAAGGATATGTACTTTTTCCACCCCTGACCTAAAGATCTTCAAGTTCTTCTCATGTCTGTAGCTTTGCACTTGTAAGTCTAAAAGTACAAGATAGTGGCTTGGGCTAGGAAAAGCTGTGTGATCAGGCAGGTTTGGAGACAGAGCTAGTCCTTAACTGACAGTGAAAACAGTACTGGGATCAAGAATGAGACCTAATGTTATTTAACAATCATGCATATGAAACTATTTTTATTGTCATTTCTGAAGCCCATCTCAGTAACATGCTTTATGGGCAGACTTATTCATCCTCACTACTTATTCCTCTGTGAAGGAAAGGAGCATTTTATTTATTTATTTATTTTTAGGCAATTGGGGTTAAGTGACTTGCCCAGGGTCACACAGCTAGTAAGTGCCAAGTGTTTGGTCTGAGGCTGGATTTGAACTCAGGTCCTCCTGACTTCAGGGCCAGTGCTCTATCCACTGTGCCACCTTGCTACCCTGGAAAGGAGCATTTTAAATGAAGTGGTTATACTTTTTATATTCTTGGCACAAAGCAGGTTCTTCATGTTAAACAAAGATCCCCATTTGCATAAGTTGGATGATGGAATGACCCAGGCTTCTCCAGGAATGAAACCAGGTAAGATAGGTACTCTATGTCTGTTCTCATGTCTGCTGTCAGAAGGGTTGCTGATGGGGAAGGGGCAGGACAATGAGAGGATATGAATATTGTCCATATAGTATTAAGGAGAAGACAAAAGTGTTTTATCTTCCTAGGGAAAAAAAAGGTTTTCACAAAATATTAGATCTGAAAAGAACCTTAGAGACCATCTAGTTCAGAGGTTCTTAACCCCCAAGGAATCTATAGATAGATTTCAGGGGATCTATGGACTTGCAAGGGGAAAAAAATTACATCTTTATTTTCACTAACATCTAATTAGAATTTAGCATTTCCTTCAATTATTTATTTAAAAAAAACAATTATTCTAAGAAGGGATTTACAGGCTTTACCAGACTGCCAAATTGGTCCATGACACAAAAATGGTCTAGTTCAAATGCTTCATTTTACAGAGAAGACAACTAGGGCTCAGAGAGGGAAAGAGTCCTATCTAAGTTCATATAGCAAATTACTGGAAGGAGAAGAACTGAAACTCAAGTCTCTTGACTTCCAATCCGAGACTCTTTCCATATCACAATGAATAAGGAGAGGTAGCTGGGGGTGAAAGTTTTCGCCAAAGGGAAAGAGAAACCCTATGAGATGGGCATAGAAAAAGGAGTCATCAGTGAAAAGGCCCCAATCAAGAAACAGTCAGAGAGAAGAAGTCAAGGAGCTCAGTGAGTTAGATATCAGAAAGGGAAAAGCCTAATACAATAGGGTTGGTGTAGCAGAATGGAACTGGCTCCAGCTGGTCAGAGGTCTGACCACATGAATCTGCTTCAACACTCAAGGGACCAAAGGTGTGTGGGGACAGAGTTAGGGGAATGAAGAGGGGTTCAAGCCTAGGTTCATCCTCAGTGCACTGAAGGATGAGGGAAGGGTTATGAATTAATTCCCCCTCCTTCACTTATGGCCAGGGATTGTCCAACAGACTTTTGAGTGGAGGAGTGGGCTTGGGGAGGTGGGCTCGGAGAACAAAGTACGGAATAAGGCGGCAGAGGGGGCTTCAGAGGTTAGTCTTCGGGCAGTGGGCCCAGACATCAGGCTAAGGGTGGGGGGTGTCAGAGGACAGCATCCCAGGGTCAGAAGTTAGGCCTAGGACAAGGAGTACGGAGGAGGTCAGAGGTCAGGACTGGGCTGGTGGTCCCGGAGTCAGAGGTTAGTAGAGGGTAGGTGGTGGGCCCAAAGGGGGTGGAGGTCAGGGTCAGGAGTCGGCACCTGCTGCCCAGGAAGAGGTGGTTGGCCCACACCATGGACAGCGCCAGCAGCCGGTCCAGGCGGCCGCCGCCGTTGGGCCCATCCTGGTAATCGGGCAGGTGGCGCAGGATGAACTCCATGCGGGCCTTCCAGTGCTTCTCGCTCTCCGAGTAAGCCCGGAACTGCTCGGCGAACTCGGCCGCCTGCCTCGTCCCCTTCACCAGCTCCTCCGCTGCGGCTGAAGTCCCTTCACCCCCAACCATCGCGCTCCCAAACACCACCAAACCCAGAAGCCAGCCTGCCTGACAGCCACCTTCCCAGAGTGCACCGGGCCTCTATCCTCCGGATAGAGAGGCTCCTGCGTGGAGGCCACTCTCGCCGCTCTCGCCTTGACTGCTCTGGAGGACCTGCCCAGGCGCGGGGCCTGAGGCACCCAAACACGTCATCAGTCATCCGCCTGCGGGGAGGAGGAAGTGACTCAGAGCCTGCACTGTGGATGTCACTGGTGTGACCTCCCAGTGTCACCTCCCCAGGGCCACCTGGGGTGTCATTGTTCCAAGGGTCACTCTTCTGTGTCACCGTCACTGTTAACACTCCAACTATCGCATACTCCTCAAGTCAAGTTAACAAGTATTATTAAAGTGCTTATGTGCCAGGCGCTGGGGATATACACACACACACACATACAGTCTGATGGAGGAAGAGGAGGAGGAAGAGGAGGAGGAGAAAGAAGAGAAGGAGGAGGAGGGAGAGGAGGAAGAGGAGGAGGAGGAGAAATAATGAACTGGAAATAATCAACAAAAGGGAGGCACTAAGATTAGGGAGGAATGGTAAAGGGTTCTTGTAGAAGGTGGGACTTTAGCTGAGACTCAAAGGAAGACAAGAAAGCTAAATGAAAATGCCTGGAGTTGGGAGATGGAATGTTGGTTTTGAGGAAAAGCAAGGAGGGAATGACTGGGGAAGACCCAGCAAAGGAGTCAGAAAAAGAAACAGGAGAAACAGGAGAGGGCAGTATCACAAAAACCTGGAGAGAAGACAGAATCAAGGAGAAGAGGGTGATTGACAATGTCAAAGGCTGCAGAGTAGTCAAGAAGGATGAGAATTGAGAGAAGGTCGTTAGATTTGGGAATTAAGAGACCTGTGGTCACTTTGGAAAGATCAGTTACTGTTTTGGTTTTTGGGGGGGTTTTTGGTGAGGCAATTGGTGGTTAAGTGACTTGCACAGGGTCACACAGCTAGTAAGTGTGAAATGTCTGAGGCCAGATTTGAACTCAGGCCATTTTGCCACCTAGCTGCCCCAAAAGCAGTTACTGTTGAATGATGAGGTTGGAAGCCATACTGCAGAAAATTAAGAAGAGAATGAGAGGGAAGGAAGTGGAGGTATCAGTTGTAGAGAACCTTCTAAAGGAGGTTAGCCAGAAAAGGGAGGAGAGAGGTGTGATAAGAGCTAGTGGGGATGGATGGATCAAGTGAAGGTTTTTTTGAGGCTATAGGAGACATAGGCAGTCAATGGACAGGGAGAAATTGAAGATAAATGAGAGATTAGGCCTAATAGAGAAGATGAGATGGAATGGGATCTCTTGTGCACGTCAAGGGGTTTGCCTTGGCAAGGAGAAGGGCTCTTTCCCTCTCGTATCACTCAAATATTTTCCCCCTACTATCTTCTCCTTCACCTTTGTCTCTCAAGAAGTGGACCTTCTCTTTGCCAAAGCAAACCCCAGAGATGAAGGGAGGAAACTTTTTCATCTTTCCTTAAGCCTCGCACAACTCTCGCTTCATCCTCTCAGCTGAGAACTTTACCTTATATTTCACTGAAAAAATTGAGGCCGTTTGAGAAGATAGCCTTTTTCCTATAAACCTCTATATGCAGACTGCGTGGATTGTCAAGGTGTTCAGATAATGAGACCCTACTTACTGCCTGCGTCACTCTGCTGGTACTTTGAATAGGTCGCATTTATTTAAATCAATGCTGAAATCCAGAGATGTTTTCCGGGTGGAGACAGACAAGAGCTGTGGTATCCACTTTCTCATGGATGTAGTTAATTCTCTTAGGGATTCTAGATTCATTGTGACATAATGAAAACATGGGCAGTCCTCATTCAGTTTCTAGAGGCCAGTCCCTGAATGCATATGGTTCAAGTGACCTTTGTAAAACTATTGGCACGTAACTGTCATTCAGGAGTTTCTATGTAGCGGATCAGGGACCTGTTCATTCTGATCAGCACTACATGGGGTCTTGGGAAAAGGATGGGTCTCGGAAAGAAAGGATCCGGGAAAGGATGTTGGGGTTGAGGTAATAGTTTTTGGAAACATGGAGCATCTCCATTCCTACTACTGTTGATTCAGTGGAATTCAATTTTTGAAAAACTGATTCTGCATTATTCTCTTCAGCATATTTATCGTGCATGTAGTCCATAGCTGTTATAGAAGGAAACTTAGTCTTTTTGACTGTATTCCATACTGTTTCCAAAGCTTTGACATCTAATCTCTTTTTCACTCTCTGGGAGAAGCGCATTAGTTTGTTCAGCGGTTCAGCAGTTTTGCCTGAACTTCGTTTGTAAGGTTAATTAAGCTGAAGCAGAGTATCTTTTGGTCCCCACAGTTCATATCTAGAAGGTGTCCTAGGTACTACCCTGGACTGGTTTATGATGCTTCCAGCCCCTCTCTCTGTCCACTATCTTTGTTCTGACCAGATATGTTAACCCTAAGTAATCAGGAGATCACTTGGAGTCTTTACTCATCAGTTACTTAGAGCTGATATATCTGACATTGTCTATTTGCTCCTCTGATTACAGTCCTCTGGATTTGTTCTTGCCAACTGTGAAAAAAAGTTAGAGGCCTTTCCCCACTCCTTTTGGTGGGTATCAAAGGGACCTGATATAAATATCCTGTATATACCACGTGTTCTGAGCTGTCAAATTAGTTATCCAAAACCTGGAAGCTCTTAGGCACCAAGTCCTTGGGGGTGCTACATCTTCAAAGACTGAGTTCGAAAGCAAGTAACCTGAGGATCTACATGTCCTATATTTCCCTATGTTAATCACCTGCACATCTGCATTTTTTTTTTGGTGAGGCAATTGGGGTTAAGTGACTTGCCCAGAGTCACACAGCCAGCGAGAGTTATGTATCTGAGGCTGGATTTGAACTCAGTTTATCCCTACTGCAGTGCCTGTGCTCTATCTACTGTGCCACCTAGGTGCCCCTGCATTTATTCTAAGGCATGTGCCAGTCGGAACTCCAAGGTTCTTCATGTGGAAGGGAAAATACCCCTTAAAAATTTTCAATACTGAGTTCCTTATAATAGTATTGTTAGGCCTACTGTCTGTCCTCCATAAATATGTATTGCCACAAATACTTGCCTCCATAGTCATTCCACACTGCTACTGGGTCACTGACTACTAAAATACGGGTTACTGGGCTACTGCTTCCATTGCCACTAGATTGCTAGCTGCTGAAAGAGGTGTTGCCTCAATTAGCTATCCTTTCACTTCATCCTCAGTCCATCCTTCACTCATCATGATAGCATTAAACTGGTTTACCAATTCCTGGTCAACAGTAACACACTTGATAATTAGTTCCCAAGTAACCCCTTAAATGTTATCTTTTTAAACACTTCAATTTCACAAAATGAACACAAAACAGCTATTGCTGTTCCAGAGGTATACTAAACAATGAAATCGTAAATAATTAGTGGGTCAAAGAGTAAATCATAGAAACGAATGTGAAAGAAAATGAAAATAATGGAACAATGTATCAAAATTACTAGGATGCTGCTAAAGGAGTCCTCAGATGAAAAATCATATTCTTATAAACATATATTAACAAAATAGAAAAAAAGATTAATGAACTAAAATATATGTTTAAAAAATTGAAAGCCAACTTATAAACAAATCTAAAATAAGGCAAAAATGAGCAAATATTAGAAATCAGAGGAGAAATAAATTGGAAATAAAAAAATCATAGAAATGATAAATTAAACTAAAAGCTGGTTCTTTGAAAAAGAATAATAAAACTTATAAACCTTTAGCTAATCTGATTAAAAGGAAGAGGGCAGAAAATCAAACCAATAAAATAACAAATGAGCAAAGTGAAATAATAATAATACCAGAAGAAATAAAAAGAACAATCAGAACATATTGCATAGTTATATGGTAACAAAACTGAGAACACAAAAGAAATTGAAGGATATCTTCAAAAAATGTAAAATACCCAGACTATCAAAAAATCAGATAGAGATTTTAAATAACCCAGTTCCATAAAAGGAAATAGATATAGCTATAAAGGAATTACTAGAAGAAAAACATCTAGTCCTGGTGGATTCACAGGGGAATCCTATCAATCATTTAAAGAACAATTAGTACTGATACTTCATGAATTATTCTCAAAAATTAAGAAAGAAAGCACCCTACCAGAATCTTTTTGTGAGACAAATATGGTCCTAATACCTATACCAGGGAAAGATAAAACACAGAAAGAAAACTATAGGTTAATATCATTAATGAATATCATTAATGAATTTTTAAACAAAATCCTCTCAAATAGACTACAGTAATTTATTCAAGAAATCATTCATTATGACGAAATGAGATTTAGATCAGGGATCCAAAGAAAGTTCAACATTAGCAATACAATGAACACAATCATTTTAAAAACCAAAACATCTGGAATGACATAATTATTTCAATAGATAGAAAAAAAAACTTGAAAAAGCCAGGAGGCTGTGCACTGGATTAAAATGTAATTGGGAAATGTTTAACCAAGAAAAAAAAATATGATGCAATATAGATAATGTTAATTTGTAGTATTCTAAGTCAATATGCCCTGTAGGGTTTCCATTTGAGTTTGGCACCACAATTCCATAGGACTTCCTCTAGATTTCTTGGCAATATGTAGATAATGAGAAAACACACAGCCTGTTTATCAGTTACCCCTTATTTTTGCCACATGACTGACCTTCCTTCTTTCCTAGTCATATATTTGTCTGAAAATGTCCTTTTTACTATTTCTCTTGCATTATTCTTCTTCGGTAGTGTGTTGTAGCCTATTGATGCCCACCAGAAATCTTTTTAGGAAAGAAAAATTCACATATAGACATAGAATAAAACAGCCGTTCTCAAAGTGAGGTCCAGGGACCCCCAAGAGTCCCTGAGTCCCATTCAGGGTACTCATGATGTCATAACCATTTTCGTAACAATACTAAGCCATAATTTACTTTTTTCACTATTTTTCTCATGAGTGAACAATGGAGTTTGTTAGATGGTAATTCACACAGATCAAAACAGAAAAGCTAATGATGTGTCTGGACTT